TCGACGGTGCGCCCGCTCTTCGACTGGGGTCTCGGCCCCTCGCCCCGCCTCGCAGAACGCGCGCGCTGCGCGCTGCGCTGGTGGCGGGACGTACTGGCACGGGACGTCGCCCGCGCGCGGCCATGGCGGGGCCGCGGCGCGCGCCCGCCGGCGCTAGCGCTGGCGGATGCCCGCGGCAGCCTGGCGCGACTCGCGGCAATTCTCGCAGCAGACGACGCGCTCGAGCGGGCAGAGATGTCACCGCCAGGCGATTTCCTCAGGCCCCCGCGCGACGGTCCGCGGCGCGCGCGCGTCGGGCGCAATGCGCTGCGCAGCGGATTGAGCGCCCACAGTGATCGGCAGATAGCAGCTCTCGGGTCACGCGCGCTCGCCGGCCGTCGCGCGGTCTTCTTATCAGGCAACAGCGTCGCTGAATGCGTTTTCAGGAAGGGTGCTGCAAAGTCCCGTGATCACAATTACCTTGCGCATCAACTTTGGGCCGCGATAGTTGCGCTTCAGGCAACGCGCGGCCGCGCCACCGCGCTTGATTCGCGCTTGAGAGGTAGAATCGACGAAGAACTTAGCCGACCTCCCCAGCCGCGAAGAGCGGGGATTGCTCGCGCGGCTGGGGGAAAAAAGAGTACGCGCATAACTCGCAGAGGCCTTTCGCTGCGAGCGCGCCAAGCACGCGCGGCGGGCCGCCTCATACCCGTTTCACCATTTCAGCGCGCGAAGACCAGCGGGGCACGCGAGCGCGCCGGCGCAGCCGGCTCCCAAGATAGCCGGCATTGCGCAAGATGCAGCTCGCAAGCGGGTTTCGCCGTACTTTCCCCGGGCGCTTCAGCGATGCGACGGCGGCCGAAGCCGCGGCCCTTTGCATTCGGCACGGTGGCTGTTCATTCGCACGTCTGCGGGTTGTTGGCCGCGAATCCGCCAGCTGGAGCGACTGGGATGACGCGAGCGCAGAGTGTCGTCAACTTGTGCAGACGGCAGCGCTGGCCCGACTGCCCGCAGGGCCGCCCCGCCGGTTGCGGCGCTGCGGCAGGCGAACTGAGCGGCGCGCAGCGTTTTCTTGGCGCGCGACGCGCGCGAGTGCAGGTCGGCGTCTTCGCCGCGCAGGGGACGTCGCATCGGCTCGCCTCGCTCGAGATCTACGACAGTTCGGGATGACAGGTGGCTCGGCTGGCGAGCCCGCTTGGGTGGGCGCGCGCAGCGTCGCGCAGGCGCAGACCGCGACATCGCGCGCGCGGCCAGTGTACTGGCGGAGCAGGGGGTCGAGATCCACCAGGATCTCGTCGGGGTTCAGCTGCAGGCATCGCGGATCTGCAGGTCCTACCATCACCGCTCCTGGCGGAGCTCGTTCGTTTGTGCGCCGCGGGGCCTTCCCTGGCGTGTAACTGGGATGTGAGTAGTCGATCCCCAGCGCGCCCTGGCCCCAGCGCTTGCGCTCGAAACGGCTTCGGCGCGGCCAGAACCGCCCTCGCCGCCCGTGCCTGGGGGGCCGCGTCGCAATGCACAGAGGATTCGGTGCTCCATGTCGTCGCAGGGGGAGCGGCGCGAATGGGCAGAAGAGGCCCGAGTCCTGGTCAGCACGTTGCCGTCCACCCGCCAGTCCGTGAAGAGCGGAGTGCGATGCTGGCTCCACTTCGCTATGGACGTGCTCGGGCGAGAACGGCAGCTCGCGCTGCCGCCCAGCGAGGTGCGCCACTCTACGCGGCCCCCGTGCGCGGCCCGCGGTCTCGCAAGACAGCGGCGCGCGCCCAGGTCGATTTATTGAGCTGGTCGGCCACATTCTCCCGCGCGGGCACGTTCCGGAATTATTGCGGCCGCGTTCAGACAGCGCGCGAAGTGGTGCGTCGACTGGGCGCGAGCGCCTTCTGCAACAGACGGCTGCTCAAGTGCCAGCTGCCCGCGCCACCGCGCGCGCGTCCGCTCGTCGCGCGCCCGGGAAGCAGCCATCGTGCGGCGCGGCGGGCGGGCGCCGCGCGAACCGCGATTCGTTCGCGACAATATGATCGCGCCATTTTTGGGCCTTTCCGGTCGCAGCGAGAGGGAGAAGGCGGGGCCGCCGCGCGGCATTCGCTGGCTACCCAGCGATGACGCAGGTGGCATCCACCATGTTTCTTCTTACGTACATCTTTCTGTTTCGCTTGCCGTCCGAGTGTCTACTGATCCGGCGGTGCGGCAACACGCTGTCGCGCGACGGCGCAGCGGGCCGCGCCGCATCGCAGCGCGCCTGCGCAAGGGCACCCGCGCGCGCGTCGAGCGCGCTAGGCGGAGCTGGCCATTTTTGCCGACGGGGCGCTCCTCTTGTTGCCCCGGCGGAAGAACAAGGCGCGTGCGTCGCTACACCGCCGGCGGTGTTGCTACCGCGACGTGCGCAGTGCGCGCCCGGCCGCAGTTGCTGCGCGATACAGCCGTCGGCGCTCGCCCGTTCGCGCAGTTCTCAGGGTCGGATGCCAGGCGAATCCTGCGGTTTTGATGGTCCAGAATAGGGGTGGGCGGTGCTCACCTGTTCGGCACGTACGACATAGGGGTGGACAGCGCACACCTGTTCGGCACAGGCGACCGCCCGCGTGGCGCGGCGCGCCCACCCCTGTGCCCGTCTCGCGCGGACGAGGGGGCACGCCGGCCATCGATCGCGAAACTAGGCTGGTCGACGCCTATCTCGCTTACATCGACCGCTGTCGGGTTGAGAGCTGGAGGACAGCGGCAGCGCGCAATTCTGCGTCCGACAGCTCGGACAGCTCTGACTGCAGCTCGGGTTCGGAGAGCCGTGCTTCTTCTCGGAGCGCGCCCGAGCGCCGCGCTTCGCGTGCGCAGCGGGTGGGCGGCGCGCGGCGCTGGTCGCATCGTGTCATTGAAATTAGGTCGTGCTATGACCAGCACCGAGGCGCCCCGTGGCTCCTGCGCTCTCTCGGCGCGGCGCCCGCGCCACGTGGCGTGGCGCAGGCTTCGGCGCGCGCCCAACGCTGCGGTTGCTTGCGCAACCCAGCCACGGGTGAGCGGGGTGCTCAGCGAACTTGCGTGTATGGAACGGACTCGGCCCTGCGTTCCATCGCGCGCACGCGATGGCCCCAGGAAAGCGCGGCGGACGCAGGCGCGTGCAGTCGCCGCGCCGCCGCACGGCTTGCGCGCGTCGCGGCTCGCCGCATGCGATGGGCGCAGGTCCGCGCGCGCCCCGCGCGCGGCACTTGCCCGCCGCGGCTGGGCGCGCACCCCGCGCTTGGAATTGCTGGGTCGTGCTGCGACCAGCACCGAGGCCCCCCGCGGCGCCTGCGTCCTCTCGGCGCGCCGCCCGCGCCGCGTGGCGTGGCGCAGGCTTTGGCGCGCACTCGACGCTGTGCTTGCTTGCGCAACCCAGCTACGGGTGAGCGGGGTGCTCGGCGAATGTGCGTCCAAGGCCTGCAGCACCGCCGCGGCCGCGGCCGCGGCCGCGACCGCCACGGCTTCCAGCTGCAGGCCAGGGACAGCGCGCAAAGCGGCCGCTGCTCGCAGCTCCGCCGCCTGCGCCTCGCACGCGGGATCCGCGTGCTGCGCCGTTGCTGCGGGCGGCGGTCCGCCTCCAGTGGCGGCGGCTGCCCCAGCGGCGCCGGAGGTCGGTCGTCGCCTCGCCTGGGCTCGCGCTAGGCCGGGTCGAGCCAGCGCGCCAGGGCCAGGCGCGCGCTAGCGACAGGACTGGGCCGAACCCCTTTTTCGGCCCGCCAGCGCCTGTGTCTGGGTTCAGTCCGGCGCTCTCCTCGGCAGCGCCCGCCCAACGCTCCTCGCGCCGCTCGACCCTCGGGCGGCGCCCGTGGCGGAGTCGCCGCCGCGAGGCCGCCCGTGGCGACGCGCTCGGCGGCCGCCGCGAGGCCGCCCGGGCGCGGGCCCAGGAGCCGGTGGAGACGTTGCGCCTGTGTCCTGGAGCTGCCGTACATGCGGCTGCTTCCGCGACGGCGTTTGCGGCGGGTCGGCCCGCTGCGGCGGCGCACTCGGCGCCGGGGCCTGCGGCGCGCCGCTTGGGCGCATGGGCTGCTCGCGCGCGCCGGGCGCCGGTTCCACCGGCCCGAGGCCCGCGGGCGATCGCGGCGCGCGGTCCTTCGCGACTCCTCCCACGGGTCGCCGCCGTCGCCGTCGCCGCCAGGAGGGGGGGATTGGCGCCTTAATTGTCGAAGTCCGCCGGGGTCAACCGCGCCTTCGGCCTCCGCGGGAGGTCGTCGGCATCCTCGTGCCAGCCGCCGGCGCGAGCGCCGCCGCTGGTTGCGTCGCCGGTGCTAGCGGTTGCCCTGCAGGCCTGGTCGCAGGTCAGACCTTTGGGGGGGGCGGCGCTCCTCGTCGCGATCCGCCAGTTCTGCACTCTTGTGAGGAGCTGCTCCGGCACAGCCCCCCCGGCGCCCCCGAGGAACGTTCCAATGGTGGGACGCGGCGCTCCGCCAGCGGTGGGCGCCGGCGCGCCTGCAGACTCCGTCGGCCTCCCCGTGCCTGGGCGGCGCCATGAGCGCTTCGCCGGCTCCTTCACCTCCTCCCACAGGTACGTGCCCGAGGTCTGGGGCCCATCTTGCGCCACCGTGGAAGTGGATGGCGCGCCAGGTCCAGGCGTACTCAGCCTCTCGGCATCGACGCGCCCGAGGCCGCCCGAGACTGGCTGCGCTGGCCGCGCGCCACACTCTTGAGCCAAAACTGCTTGAGCCAACATGGCCGCTGCTGCGGTCAGGAAGCCCAATCACACACATCGGCGACACACGACGAGCAATACTCCTTATCACTCGTATGCGTTGTATGATGGGCCTGGACCGCGCCCAGACATCCAATGTATTTGATTCCCCGTGGCGGATCCATTTGTGAAGGCCCCGGTGCGCACACAGCTGCAACAGAGGAGAAACATGTCAGCTATTATCGGCCTGACATTGGTCGTCCGAGGGTTGTGCGTCCTTGCCGCGCATCCTTATGATCCCGTCGCGCTGTGCGAGGGCCCGCCCCGAGGCCCTTGGCACGCGCTCAGAGGTGTTTCGTTTCCCCATCCGGCCCGCGCGCGAGAGAAGGACCCGAGCGGCGGGGCGCGGTGCTGCACCGTCCGGTACCAGGACGCCCGGGGGAGGAAAACGGACCCGATGCACGCGGTCGACGCCGACCCTGCAGCCAAGCGCATCCCCGGCCCAGGGATCGGTGTGCACGAGTCGAGGAAGAACATGATGCACAAACCAACTTTTTCGAAGGCCTGCGCGGATGTCTTTCGATGTGCGTTGGGTTTGGGCCCTTGGCGGCGCTTCCAGCGCTGCCTTGGATGATCAGAGACATGTTTGTGGACCTTCGACTGTTTGTGTATGTTGCGATTCCTGTTATCTTCTTGGCCAAGCCAGGAGGACGTGTGCACATATTCCGTGCTCAGATTGGCCCTGGCCCACTGCCATTGTTATCCCTCGGGAGCGGCGAGGCATGTGCACGCGAGTTTGCCGACTGGGCCCGCGATCGGCGTGTACCTTCGGGCGCCCCAGGGGAACGCCCCCCGGGACGCTTCTTTGAGCAGCCCGAGGGTACCTGCCATGGCGACTCCCTGGGCAGATCTGCGGTACCTGCCAGGCTGCTTCCTTGGAGCGCCCGGGGGTACTCGGACATCCCTATAGCTCTGGAGGCTGGCTCTGGCCCGCAGCGTGTCGACAAAAGCGATCGATTCAAGGTGAGGAGCTGGTCCTCTGGCCGAGAGGTCGGAGAGCCCACGTCTCAGAAGAGTTGAGCCGCCGGGTGCCTGGGCATGCATTTTTGTCCAAGACATGCGGGCGTGTGAACCGATCTTGCGCTCAGGCTGCGCGTGGTCGACGCCAACAGGGGCTCCGTGTGGCCTCCACCATGTCGGGGATGTTGTAGTCGGCGTTGTGCGGGAACACTGATTTCGAGCATCAGGATTTTGGAGAGACCCCGAACCCTCGTGTTCCCTGCTTTCCTCGCCCCTCCCAGACGATGCCGACGTCGATTATTTCATGCCCGCGCGCAGGTGAACAGTCTGAATCGCCAGAGGTTGCCCGAATGTAGTCGCGCACCGCGCGTCGCGGCCTGGTCGCGTCGCGCCCAGGCGGCCCTCGCAAGTGCGAGAAGATATCCGCGCGTGGCGCATCCCTGACATCCGCCAGTGAAATTCGTTCAATCCGCAGCGCCAGACCGCTTTCCCGGGGGTCGTTTTCCGCCTCGAATCCGTATTTGATGGTCCCGGGATTCAAAAACGGCCCCCGAGGGCCGAAATCGATGAACACAGATTGCGGTTGAGAGCAGTCCTACCGTCGGAGATCCAGGATCGCGCGGCGCGAGGCGCGGGGCCAGGCAACAAGAGAGGCGACACCACCACCACCACCACCACCACCACCACCACCACCACCACCACCACCACCACTGGGGGTGTCACCGTGTCACCTCCAGCGAGGAGGCCGTCGATGCCTCCCCGAGCCGGGGATTGGATGTCTCGGGCGGGAAGGGGGGGCCACACCACCAGGGGGACCCTCCTGGCTCTGATGGTGGTGGTGGTGGTGGTGGTGGTGGTGGTGGTGTCGCGTTTCTTTGTTCTTACCCTGAGAATCGACGCTGCGAACGCATTCCAACATCATGGGGAAATCGCAACTGGAGCCCCAGACCCCACATTAATGCTGCCGCATTCCCAGTAGCTGGGAAAACTTATAATCATAAATGTAGGTGTTTTTTTTAAATGCACGGTTGTTTAACATATTTAACACGATTTAATTTGAAACGGGTTTAAATATATGTAAGTAATGATAAATAATGGCTCTCATGCGACTACTGCAACATCGTCACAATCCTAAGAAGATGTTGACGGGCCCCGCGCCCCTGACATAATCAAAGCATGTTGTTTGTTGCGCCCGCTCGCCCCACTCGACGTGATCAAGGTGCGGCGGCCTCGCGCGTGAAGTAATGCGCCTGTCTCGGTGTACTCTTGGATGCTAAGGCGCCCACGTGCCAATGTTTTTTGATGCTTGTTTGGGGTCTTCTGGGTTCCCTTGATGGCCTCTTTGGGGCGGTGGTGGGAGAGCGCGTTTTGGGCAGAGGGGGAGGGGGGGTGTTCGTGACCGCATGTTGGGCACGTGGGGGGAGGGGGCCTGTAGGGCGGCGCCTCTTAGTCGCGGATCTGCGGAACCTTCGTCGGTTCGAAAGGTAAGGTCGAGCGAAGTTGTGCTGGGCCGTCTCAGGAGCCCCGTAGGGTCCCATTTGGGGAGTTTCTGGGGCCGTTCTGGTCTCGCCAGGGGGGGGGGGTCAGGGAAAGGCGTCGGAATGGCGCCAGCCACTGGAGTAGCAGGTCGGCGGAAGGGCGTATCGGGTCAGCCTGCGAATAGTAGGAAGATTGGAAGGAGGAGAGAAAGAAGGGGTGGGAGAGGCGGAGGAGGGGGAGGAGGAGGAGGACGACGGAGGGGGAGGAAGAAGAGGAGGAGGAGCAAGAGGAGGAGGAGCAAGAGGAGGAGGAGAGGGGGAGGAGAGGGGGAGGAGAAGGGGCGGCGGAATTTGCGGCAAGCAAGAAACGATTTTCAATTGCCATCGGCACGTGGGCAGCAACTGACTGAAACGTGTTTTTCACATCTCGAACCTGAGAAGCAATCCCGACAAGCGCTTCACTAGCACATTTGATTGCACGGACTTCTCGTAACGCCCACTCATTGTTTTTTTCCAGCATTTCGTGGTTGTGCCTATCTGAGATTCATCCGCGTAGCACTGCAAGTGCCTTGGGTTGAGTGTTGCTGCGTAGAGCGGGGTGTGTTGCATTTTGTGAACTTTGGGCGTCACCCTCCAACCCAACCGCGCACCGATGCGAGCAAATTCTCTGAGCTCCATGAAACGGGTACCGAAAATGACACACGCATCACGCAGCCGAGCTCGGTCCACGTCAGATAAAAACATTGGCCCATCGTACAGCACCTTGAAGTATTCAATCAGGGCATCCGACACTTGCAGCACGGCGCGGTCCTCTTCGGACCCGGGGGATAACAATTCGTGGCACATATCTCTGAACAGCGGGACGGCGGCCCTGGTGTTTGCGGCACTCACGGTCGTGCCGTGCAGTTCGCCCCATCCATATGAGAAAATATGTTTGACGAGTATTTTCGGTAAGCGGTACGTGCCAGGGTGGGCGGTGTACCAGCGTTCCATAAACTCTTGGATCCGCTGCAAGCGGTCAAACTTAGTCGCGCCAAGGGCTGGCTTCAGAAACAATAGTTGCAGCAGGCTTCCAAAAGTTATAGCCAGGACGCCCTTGCAGTGCATGAGGTGCATGTGATCCATGAAGTAGAACCATCTGTCGCAACAGTAGTGGCTCGCCGCTGTCGGGTGCAGCGGTTGCCGAAGTCGAGTTTTCCAGCTCGCAACGTCCATGTGTTCTGTTGGCCTCCATTGAGCTGCAGGGCCGAGGCCGGTGAACGGCTTGTCCAACCTGTTACTTCTGCAATCGGAGCATGGCTCTGGTTTGCTGTAGTGGCACAGCCCAAACGCGTTACACCTCTTGTCCTCGTGACTTCCAACACCTCCTGCCGTCTCGGGCCACCCATTGGCCATCGATGCGCCCCGTAGCCAGTGCGTCAACGTCGCGAATCAGCATATCCCAGAAGTCTGAATCGCCACTGAAGTCGTCCACATCTTTTTTCAAATACGAAGCCACAGTGAATCTCGTGAGTTTTTCTGGACCTTGCCCGAGCAAGCTATACACGAAATTGAATGAGCGCTGAACGACTTGCTGCAAGGCCCTGCGTCTGAATGCACAACGCAAGGCAGCGTATTGACCAGGTCGCCGAGGCTTTTTCCAGATAAAAAGGTGTGCCTCTGCGCCCACTGGTACGTGCTGTCGTTATTCAAGAATTGTTCCCAAAACCGTCTAACTCTATCTGGATTCGCGCCCGATCGAGTCTTGAACTCCCAGGGGTGTTCCTTGTGGATCACTCGCACCAGAGTGGATGGCAGCAGTGCTGAAGATATAATACCATCGCCCTCGAGGGGCGTCAACAACTGAGGCAGACCAATGGTTCGAAGAAGTTTGAGCATTCCGCTGTCAGCATTTAGATTGGTCCCGATGCGCGAAAGGCGCTCGACCATTGGGCGTGCCATGCGGTCTCGAACCATGTCACTGCAATGCTTATGCACTGCGCTGGCCGACGATACTCCGTCGCACCATGACAGCAAGTGCCTGGCAGCTGAAAGCGATATCGTCGGGTCCTCATCATCGGCAGCGTCCAAGAGGTCGCGTCGCTCTAGCTGCTGTCTCCACCCCCCTCTCCGCCTGCGTTTCCGAGGTAGCGGCGCTCAGAGGGCGCTCAACATATCAAACCATGGCGAAGCAGAACCGAGAAGGCACCGAAGCAGAAACCTCGGGCAGAAATGGATGCGGACTCTTGAGTAGCTGAGTGCCTCACATGACGCGAGAACAGGCCGTCCAACGCAACGCTTTATAAGACCTTCGAAGCGCCTCCGAGAGGAGGGGCGTGCGTGTGTGTGTGTGTGTGTGTGTGTGTGTGTGTGTGTGTGTGTGTGTGTGTGTGTGTGTGTGTGTGTGTGGTGTGTGTGTGTGTGTGGGGGGGGGGGGGGGGGGGGGGGGGGATAAGGGGGAAGGGGGGGGGGGGGGGGAAGGGGGGGGGGTGGGTTGGACAAGCGTGGAGACCTGGTCAAGCCAGGGCGCGATTCACCGCATCACTGGGGCCAGGGGACCCCGCACTTGGGCGGGGGGGCCCTGGACAGCCGACTGGGCCCTTCCTTCCCTGACTTGGAGGGGGAGGGCGGGCATTGCCTGCTCAGGTTCACGGAATTCTCAACGCCGTGACTACCACATTGGGTACAACACAGCACACCGCGAATTACGTCCAACTTGTGAGAACTGTGAACACGCGGGAACAAGGGAGGCATCAATGGGGTCTCGCGGGCGAGGGCCTTGGGGCCACAACAGGGCCCAGGGAGGAAACGCCTCAGGTGACCCCTCGAGGGAAATCTGCGCTTGCAAATCTGACAGATCAAATTATCTCCTCTCTTCCTGCGCATATGCCCCGCCTGGAGGAGGCTGAGTTGGCGGGTGCCGAGAGAAGAGAGAGCACGGGGCCTCGCCGCCGCGCGGCCGACACTCTGGGCGGCCAATCGTCTGCAGGAAGTGGCCACCCCCATGTTAGTGGCTAGAAGTCTGCACATGATGGAGTGGGTAAGGCCATCGCTCTCCTGCGCAGATCTGACTACATCCTCTGAGATAGCGACTGCGTCCGCAGCCCATCCCGCAAAGAAATCCGCACGCCAATTCAAGAAAAACTCATCAGACCCGATGGCGAATTTCCCCTGTACCTCAGGAGAAGGATGGGACTTGGTCCAGAGGGCGGTGATCTCACCAGGGCCACGCCGATCGATCGCAGCCCAGATCAAGACCCACAGATCGAGCATAGGCGAGTGCCGGGAAACGTGAGCCCGCGACTTGGACATCGCGCGGCACAAGGGGCAGGTAATTTGTGTAACATGCAATATCTCCGACCGCGTGGTTCAGGACGACCAGGAAAGCGAACAACTCGGCCCTCGGACTGGACTGCTCAGGAGTCGGGAGGGGCCCACAACAAACAGCACTTCAACAGTTTTGGCCATCTTGTGGTTCACCGAGCCTGCATATGGCCCATCCACGGCTCCTCAAGCGTTCATCCAGAGCGCGCACTCCTCCTGATCCATCTAAACCCACTGCCCTCCTTCAATAACTTGCTGCGCTCCGAACAGACCCCGAGACCAGACTTGCGTGACTGGTGGGGGAACGATCCCCCAAGTACTAGCCAAGGGCGGGAGCCCCCGAGACCACAAGGCAGAGTCTGGGGATGCAGCATCAGCGCGTGCACAAAGATGAGAAGTAGCCAAAACGGCGGTATTGTGCATAAAACCATTACTGGGACACTTCCAACATCTGTGCTTCATATCCTCCTTCTCATCTGCGCAACGCGGACATTGACCGTTAGATGCGTAACCGGAGTCGCGCAGCCGACCTTCAGGCCAGCAGGCTCCAACAACAATGTTAACCAACATGGCAGCACGCTGGTAATCATGTTCCTTCAACAAACTCGCATGGAGCCGCCGAAAAACTGCAAGGTCAGCGCCGTGCTCTATACCTTGCGCACAATAATGTTCTGCAGCCTTCGCCCATACCTGCTGAGAGCACGCAT